GGAAGGAAGGAAGGAAGGAAGGAAGGAAGGAAGGAAGGAAGGAAGGAGAAATACAGGTAAAATGCTTAACACAGCAGGTGACAAATAGGGATGACAATGATTTAGGTGAACCAGATAAAGGCCCAACCCTTGGGGCTCCCACTGCTGGGTGCACAGGAGACAGGCACGAATGGCTGATTGCGACACCTGTGATGTGTGACACACACGGGAAGTGACAGGTTGCAGTGCCAGAGACTCAGGCTTCTGGGAGACAAAGCTAAGGCTTTCGGAGGCTACACAGAGGCCTAACAGGACTGAGATGAGCGCTCCCAGGAGCAGCAGCAGGGCCCAGGGGCAAGCAGGAGGTGGCCGATCGATGTCTCTCTCTCTCTCTGTCCCTCTCCCTTCCTCTCTCTCTAAAATCAGTAAAAACATATAGAAAAAAATACTGTACTATTGTGCTCGCTTTGGCAGCACATTGCTAAAATTGGAATGATACAGAGATTAGCACGGCCCCGTCGAGGGTGGCACGCAGTCGTGAGGCGTTCCATATTTCTCATTTGGCAATAGATGCAAATATTGATGGATCATGTTGTACGTCTAAAACTAACACAGTGTTATATGTCAAGTATATCTCAATTTTTAAAAAGAAAGAAAATACTATCATACGATACAGGTGAGTTTGTAACCTGTTTTCCTTTCCCACCTAAATTAACGTGGGTATAATATCATCTCCATTCTGTTTTTTGGTGTTTTGTGTTTTGTTTTTCATTTTAAAAAATAAACGTTATTTTTGAAACAGTTTTAGATTTCCAGAAAAGTTTCAAAGATAGTACAGAGTTCCCATAAACCCCACACCATTTCCCCTGTTATTAAAATCTTCACCTTAGTGAATACATTTGTTACCATTAAGGAACCACGATTGATATATTATTATTTACTAAAGTCCATACTTCATTCTACTGCATCTGAAAAATGTTTAAATGTAACTCTATTGAGATGTAATTTAGTACAATGAACTTCGCTCTTTGAAAGTGTACACTTTGAGTTTTAACAGATGTGCATTCCCATGAAACCACCACCCCAATGAAGATTCAGAATATTTCCATCACCCCACTTTCCCTCCTGTCCCTTTGCCGTTAATCTTCCCCTCTGTCCCCCAGCCACAGGCAATGACCAATCTGCTCCCTGTCACTATAGATTTGCCTTTTCCAGACGCTATCAGTGGAATCAGATAGCATGCAAGCCTTCAAGATTGGCTGCTTTCACTGAGCCTAATGCATTTGTAATCCACCCATGTTGCCCGGCTTATCAATAGTTCCTTTTATTGCTGAGTAGTGTCCCGTGAAATGGATCTGCTGCAATGTATTTATCTGTTAACCAGTTCAAGGACATTTGGGGTTGTTTCCAGTTTGGGACAATTATGAAAACAAGTGCTTTGTCCACCCTTGCATATATTTTCATTTCTCTTGAGTAAATACTTAGGGGTGGGATTACTGGGTCCTGTGACTTCCTCATTCTGTGGCTGTGTGGGTGTATTTCATGGCATGTTTTGAGCTTTGCCATCACCTTATTTTAT